CGAACGCTTTAATGGCACCCTTAAGCAAATGCTCATCACGTTCACAGAGACCTGTAGGAATTGGGAAAAGTTCCTCCCTCATTTGCTCTTTGCCTATAGGGAAGTTCCCCAGGAGTCCACCGGATTCTCCCCGTTCGAGCTATTATACGGGAGACGGGTCCGGGGACCCCTGGATCTGGTACGGGAACATTGGGAAGGTGATATAGAACAAGCAGGTACCCCTATAGTCTCCTTTGTTTTAGAGTTGAGGGACCGGCTACAGGCGCTGACCGAAACAGTTCGGGAGAACCTGCGAGCCGCCCAACAACGGCAGAAGTACTGGTATGACAAAGGAGCTAGGGACCGTATATTAGAAGTAGGACAGAAGGTCCTAGTGCTTAAACCCATCAAAACGGATAAGTTGCAAGCATCCTGGCAGGGCCCCTACACAGTAATAGAGCGGATCAGTGATACCACGTACATTGTGGCAGACTGTTCCAATGAAAGGATCCGGCGGTCCTTTCATATAAATATGCTTAAGCCATATCTGGAGAGACCAGAGGAGGTCTCCGCGGTATGCGCTCCAGCATATGAAGATAGCGAGAATATTCCCTTACCAGATATGCTCCCTCAGAAACCCACAGGAGTGGACCAAGTACAGTTGGGTCCAGCATTAGGGCCCGAGGAACAAGCTCAGGCGTCCCAACTGCTAAAGGAATTCGGGGGCATGTTTTCAGCAGCCCCAGGGTATACGACCCTGGCAGTCCACAGAGTGGAGACCCCAGGCCAGTTACCCCTGCGGCAGCAGCCTTACCGAATTCCAGAGGCAGTACGGGAAAGCATGTAAACAGAACTCCAGGACATGTTAGAACTGGGGGTCATAGAACCGTCCCAAAGCCCCTGGGCTTCCCCAGTTGTCCTGGTTCCTAAAAAAGACGGTACCACAAGGTTCTGCGTGGACTACCGCAAGTTAAACGATCGGACCGTTACCGATGCCTACCCCATGCCCAGAGTAGACTAGCTGCTAGACCGTATGGCTGGGGGGAATTATTTGACCACTATTGATTTGTGCAAGGGATATTGGCAAATCCCCTTGGAGCCCGAGGCCATTCCAAAATCGGCATTTGTCACCCCATTTGGCCTATACCAGTTTAAGGTTATGCCATTTGGGATGAAGAATGCCCCAGCCACGTTTCAAAGGATGGCGGACCGGCTCCTAGAGGGATTTCAGGGCTTCGCTTGTGCTTACCTGGATGATATAGCTATCTTCAGTGGCACTTGGGAAGCCCACCTGGAGCACATCTCAGTAGTGCTCAACCGCATTCAGAATGCAGGGCTAACCTTGAAGCCTGAGAAATGTCACGTGGGCATGGCGGAGGTCCAATATTTAGGTCACCGGGTAGGGTCAGGGAAACAGAGACCAGAGCCCGCTAAGATTGAGGCCATTACCCAGTGGCCGCAACCCAGGACAAAAACCCAGGTCATGGCGTTCCTAGGCACCGCAGGTTATTACCGGAAATTTGTAGCAGAATACAGTGCCCTTGCCAAACCCTTGACAGACCTCACCAAAAAGTCCCTACCCCGACAAGTAATCTGGTCCCCTGAGTGTGAGGAGGCGTTCCAGAAACTCAAGGCTGCATTAAGTGCATCTCCTGTGTTAGCGGCACCGGACCATACTAAAAGGTTTCTCGTCCACACAGATGCCTCAATGTTTGGACTGGGAGCAGTATTGAGCCAGGTGGGAGACTATGGCATGGATCACCCGGTAGCGTATCTGAGCAGAAAACTGTTACCCCGAGAAGTCAGCTATGCCACTGTGGAGAAAGAGTGTCTGGCACTAGTTTGGGCACTTAAGAAACTACAACCCTACCTGTATGGGCGCTCCTTCACAGTGCTGACGGACCACAACCCCTTAATTTGGCTTAACCGAGTAGCTGGTGACAACCCCAGGTTACTCAGGTGGAGCTTGGCGCTGCAACCCTACAACTTTACAATGCAGTATCGCCCCGGGAAACAGAATGCCAATGCTGATGGCCTGTCCCGACAAACTGAACTGGAAAAGTAATAATTTTTTTTTGTTTGTTCTGCCTGGGCTACCGGACATCCCTTAGCCGACCCGTTAGGGTCTACGCAGGTATGCCGTTCCATGGGACTAAGGGGGAGCTGTGTAACGAAATCCCCTATTCACAGCCGTCACGAACAAGCCTGTTCGGTTATTTGGAACATTACCATAGGATTTCGTGAAATTGTCAAATAAGGCGAACAAACTACCGAACCACCGACCTCCCACTGAGGTCGTGTGGCGCTCATTGACCACCCTGACTGTTGCGGTTAACCACAAACTAATTGGTATAGCGGGTGGTCCGCGTTCACCTCCCGAACACGTGGCAATCGCCATTTTGGTTTTGTCGAACGCGCAGCGGCAAATGGCGAGGATTCCCTGGAACTGATTTCAGCGACCTATTTTGTCGAACGCCGCTGCTACCTTCACCCATCCTCGTTCATACGGTGGAACCATTCGAAGGAAGGGATAATATTTCATTCGCGCATTAAAGTAGGCGAACGTGGCTGACCCCAGATAGCTATAATAGAGGACTGGCAATCGGTTACAAATACACGAATGGCCAAGGACAGCCAAACTTCAGTCGACGATCCTGGGACCTGTGTTCGTGGGATCTGAGCGCTATTCGCCTAGAATATGCACTCAGATCCAAGCTATCTGGGGATGTGTGGAACTTAAAGTTTATGTTATATAAAAAGAAAGTTATGTATTTTTATTCTGTTTTTGCTAAATATAAAAAGGCATGTTTCTTTACTTCTGGAGATAATTACAGCCCTCTTTGCTACCTTAATCTAATTATCTCCAGGATGGGAAAGAAGGAGTGAATTGTGTAAAGGGGAGTGTTTATCCTATAGCCACTGTGATTGGCTACGGTATTACTTCTGTCCCAGTCTTCCATCTGGTCCCCTAGGGGAGTGTCCACCAGGTGGAAGACCTGCATAAATACCGGGCGGGTAGCCCACAGTAAATCAGATCGTTTTACCCCTTCATGAAGTCTCGACTCATGTTTGGGGAATTGGAAGCTATAATCACTCTGTTCCAGCGGGATTTCGGGAGAAGCTGCAAGGATCATCGCTGCACGTATGCAGGGATCCTTTACAGTGTCACTATCCTGTTTATATCTATATACACACCGTACATACTGTGTCACTATCCTGTTTATATCTATATACACACCGTACATACTGTGTCACTATCCTGTTTATATCTATATACACACCGTACATACCGTGTCACTATCCTGTTTATATCTATATACACACCGTACATACTGTGTCACTATCCTGTTTATATCTATATACACACCGTACATACTGTGTCACTATCCTGTTTATATCTATATACACACCGTACATACTGTGTCACTATCCTGTTTATATCTATATACACACCGTACATACTGTGTCACTATCCTGTTTATATCTATATACACACCGTACATACTGTGTCACTATCCTGTTTATATCTATATACACACCGTACATACTGTGTCACTATCCTGTTTATATCTATATACACACCGTACATACTGTGTCACTCTATCCTGTTTATATCTATATACACACTGTACATACTGTGTCACTATCCTGTTTATATCTATATACACACCGTACATACCGTGTCACTATCCTGTTTATATCTATATACACACCGTACATACTGTGTCACCCTATCCTGTTTATATCTATATACACACCGTACATACGTCACTATCCTGTTTATATCTATATACACACCGTACATACTGTGTCACTATCCTGTTTATATCTATATACACACCGTACATACTGTGTCACTATCCTGTTTATATCTATATACACACCGTACATACTGTGTCACTATCCTGTTTATATCTATATACACACCGTACATACTGTGTCACTATCCTGTTTATATCTATATACACACCGTACATACCGTGTCACTATCCTGTTTATATCTATATACACACCGTACATACTGTGTCACTATCCTGTTTATATCTATATACACACCGTACATACCGTGTCACTATCCTGTTTATATCTATATACACACCGTACATACCGTGTCACTATCCTGTTTATATCTATATACACACCGTACATACCGTGTCACTATCCTGTTTATATCTATATACACACCGTACATACCGTGTCACTATCCTGTTTATATCTATACACACCGTACATACCGTGTCACTATCCTGTTTATATCTATATACACACCGTACATACTGTGTCACTATCCTGTTTATATCTATATACACACCGTACATACTGTGTCACTCTATCCTGTTTATATCTATATACACACCGTACATACTGTGTCACTATACTGTTTATATCTATATTCACACCGTACATACTGTGTCACTATCCTGTTTATATCTATATACACACCGTACATACTGTGTCACTATCCTGTTTATATCTATATACACACCGTACATACTGTGTCACTATACTGTTTATATCTATATACACACCGTACATACTGTGTCACTATCCTGTTTATATCTATATACACACCGTACATACTGTGTCACTATCCTGTTTATATCTATATACACACCGTACATACTGTGTCACTATACTGTTTATATCTATATACACACCGTACATACTGTGTCACTATCCTGTTTATATCTATATACACACCGTACATACTGTGTCACTCTATCCTGTTTATATCTATATACACACCGTACATACTGTGTCACTCTATCCTGTTTATATCTATATACACACCGTACATACCGTGTCACTATCCTGTTTATATCTATATACACACCGTACATACTGTGTCACCCTATCCTGTTTATATCTATATACACACCGTACATACTGTGTCACTCTATCCTGTTTATATCTATATACA